AAAAATCTCACAATTATCTGTCGTTCCAGGAACAAATTTTCTGGTGACTCTGGATAATTGAGTGTGGACAAATATTTTTTTTTTCTCAATGAAAAGTCGTGTCTGTCAGCAGCAGATATCAGACACATTTTAGCAAATAAAACTGAAATTATTTGCATGACTAAGTGAGAAAATGTGTGTTTTTGCAATTTGGGTGAAGTGACCCTTAACGCGGAGTAATTGAGCAGAATATGAAAATGGATACTATAAAACCATGATTGGATGAACCGGACATTTAAATGTAGTGACAGTTTTAAAGGGTTTTTTTTTTTTTTTCTGACACCTGCAGGAAAACTGTGTGTGTGCATTCGAAAAGCACAGAGCGGTCCTTCAGACTGACACACAGACGACGGATAGATCACGAGCTACCTGCTGCATCACTGTCCACCGCAGGGCGATGCGATAAAATGACAGCACCCAGCCAGGCGGAGGAGGAATCCTTATAAAAGCCATCATCCGCTCCACTGAAATATGGCGAAATACGACTTTATGAGACATAACCGCCGGGGTAACGATGGCGGCGCTTAATAAAGCGGCCGCTACTCACAGCCAGAAATGGTGAAATATAGAGTAGACCATACGTAACGTATCCATCCACTTAATGGTAATGACCTTTAATAAACCCAGTGTTAGAGGCGCTGTAACAGTGACGAATGGCTGCTCGGAGCTTTATTAGTTTAGTCAGTGGAGGAGATGAAAGAGAGGAGGAGATGTACAGTGGAACACAGAGATAACATTATTGGTAAATCTTGTGCAGTTGTCTTTGTTAATGTGTTGAAACTCAGCATGAAGCCAAATCTGCTCCAGTTCATCCCAGAATGCAAAGCTGACTCCAGATCATCCCGGAGCCGGCTTTATGAGTCTTATCGCCCGCCCGCCTGCGCCTCGTCCGAAAAAACAGAAACAGTCAATTGTAACGATATCTCCTCTCTTTTCTTTTCTATCGACACAGAGTAAATTAATTACATTGCTGTTAGACTTGTGGTAATCTTCCTCTGGAGTGATGCGCACACACACGCACAAACACACTGTGTACAAAGGAGTTAAAGCTTTTTGAAACAACACTTATCTTGGCAGCGTATCCCGACGGTTTGTTTTTTAAACACACAAACAATTCAAACAGCAAAATAAACAAGTGCGCTATTGATTTCCCAGAGTGCAACAGACCGCTTATCTCTTTCGCCTCGCGGTAAGAGCTGACAGTTTCCTCATTAAAAATGAATTGGATTAGCATTACATTGAATGTGGTGGAAGCACATAAACACACACACACACACACACACATATATTGTTTCTGATTCCGCTCTCAGCTTAATTCACTCTTAACCTCACACACACACACACACACACACACTAAAAGTTTCTCAGCGTTACCTGCAGCCGCCTGCCATTCCTCGAGATTGCACCTGAGAAGGAGGGATTGTGTCATCGAAGGAGAAAGCGAGGGACCCGTGGGGGGAGGGAGGAAGAGTGAGGAGAGAGGAAGAAGGGGAGGAGAGGTGGAGGGAGGACGAGGGTGAGAGAGGACGAGCTGGAGAGTCTCAGCAAGCAGTCGGTGTTGAAGTGATAATGAGACATTGATCAGAGCCTCGCAGATGGCATGATGAAATACATGAACTCTGTCTGTCTTCATCTCTCTCCCACTGTCTCTTTTCTTTCTTTCCTTCCGTCTTTGACCGTTCCTTTCGATTGTTGTGTTTTGTTCTGTCTCGTTTCATTTTTCTGGATTTTTCTGTTTCTGTTTTATCTTTTTTTTTTTAAAGTCTTTGTTTTACTTTCATTGTGTTTTTACTTCTCCTCTCCCTAGTCAGCCGTTTATTATTATTGTCATATGATTTAGGAACATTGGATTCCAGCGCTACAGTACGCCCTAATAAATGTACAGTTCACCCTCCTGTTGAGCTCGGGGGAAATTTTTCAAATGTTTTTTATATCAGACATCTGGTTTTCTTTTTGCCTGAAAATAACATGGATGGTTCCTTACTACACTTTTTGCAAATGTAATTAATAATCACTATTTTCATTGAATTCTGAGCGTTTTATTCAAAATTTATAGCATCTGTTTGACCCAGCCACTGCAATGGGGCAACGGGTCACATATGACATCTACCTGTCTGTAACGATCCGTCAACATATGTTCCTCTGATCGTAACTACAGTCAAAATAATTCAAAATGCATTTATTTTTCCAAAAAACTAGGTTTGTTTTTATGTAAATGAGGTTTATTGACCATAAACAACTAAAACTAAAGGTGTTATGCAGTTACTGGGTAATAGTTTTATACTTCATGTTTTATAAACGACGGTACGAAGGTGAAAGGATTTGTTCAACATTTGGGAAACATGTTTATTTGCTTTTGTGCTGAGAGATAAATTATGTCTGTGTGGTAAATACAAGGCTACCACTAGCAGTCAGTTAGCTTAGCTTAGCACAGAAACTTAGATGATTATAACTATTGTTGAATCCACTCACTCCTTCACACTGTTTGCTTCATCCTCTTTTTCTTCTTCTTGGCTCCTCAGCGGTGGAAGACAGGAAGTTGTTTATCGGCATGGTGTCGAAGAAGTGCAACGAGAACGACATCCGGGTCATGTTCTCCGCGTTCGGACAGATCGAGGAGTGCCGGATCCTCCGAGGGCCCGACGGCCTCAGCAGAGGTGCGTGTCGCTCCAGCTCCCCTCCCTCCGCACTTGACGCTCCTCACCTGAATATTTCCGGCTGAACGGCCTCCAGCTGCTGCTGCGGTTCATTGTGTCGACTTGTCTCGTGACTCAAACTCAAAGTCTTGGAGGGAAAGTGTTTACCTCTGACTGTGCGACAGGAGTCGGCTGGTTGATGGTGGCGTCTGAGCCGTTAATGTAGATGATAATAAATGTGACGGCTCATTATTTTTAGATTTTACGTATGCAACAAAAAATAGTTATTCAACTGTATTTATTATCATTATTTAAAAAAAAAATCAAACAGCAGCAAAACTGTTGAAAAACTGACTTTAAAAACATCATTTCAACCAATTTTTACTTTAGCAATTTATTTTTTACCTACATAGAAGGTTTTTTTTTCTGCATAATCAGCAGCTCATTTCCCTGCTTTCAAATGTTTTTCCCTCACTGTCTTTTTTACTGGAAGTTTTTCATGAGCTGTCAGTGTCGCAGGATGTTGTTTACTGTAAACTGGTGGTGATTAGTGTCTCTTGGCAGCAGGGAACATTAAAAAAAAAAACTTTTAGGGATATAAAGTTAAGGTGACTGCTGGTTTTAAACTTTTCTGCCTCCTTTCAAAAAAACAAAAAAATGATGAGGCTTAAATACTGTGTGATGGACGTTTGTCTGGGACTATAAAATCAAATCCGCCCCTTTCATCCGAATTGTCATACACAGTATTTTCACCTTGTGAGATGGTCACGGTGTCAGATTACGTCATAAGGTCTCAGTGACTTGGCCGAGAAAACGCAGCAGATTCCTCCGCGTTGGGAGACGAGTCGGAGGTTCCCGGCTTTTTCCCGACCCGCGGAGGCGATCGGCGAGAGAGGTGGCAGGGACCGACTCCCCTGTTCCACCCGACGGCACCGCAACAGCGCAGGCTTACATGTGTAAACACAGTTTCCTGAATGAAAGTCAACCTCGAACCATTCATGACCACTGGGCAGTGAAGGCTCGGCCCTTTTTCTCCTTTACCAGCCGGTAGAAAGAGTGCGAGTGTGTGTTGGTTAGCAGCGTATACACCCTGATATCGCAAGGTCACAGGTTCATTTTTATCCATTGTAGTTCGAATCTGGCATAAATTAAAACCTTTCTGTTTAAATCCATTAGAGATAGTAATATTTTTTTCAGAGATGTTTCTCGGTTTGACCTGGACAGTGAAATTGAGCTTGTGTAATGGATCCTTTGTGCTTGTATTAGATCCTGTTGTCAACCAGCTGCTTCTTCTTCTTCTTTTTTTTTTAAACCAGTCCAGATTTCCTACAAGGTTTTGAAAAGAGTCACGCGGAGGTAAACACGAATGAACTACAGCGACATCTTGAGGCCGTCACAGCCGCTGTGAATACATGATTCTCCTTTTTCGCTCTATATATCTCTTTTCCCCCTCTCTCTCTTTCTCTCTCTCTCGCTCGCTCTCCTTTTTTTCTCCCCCCCCTCTTGCTCTCTCAGCCTCAGCCCCCCCCTCTCCGATCACTCCCCCTCCCTCCTCCTCTTCCACCTCCTCCGACCTCCTAACCTCCATTCATATCCTTCACCTCTCCTGCGGTTCCAGTTTAGCCTCACCGTAAGCCAGTCCTAAGCTCTTTGACACTTCCACATTGAGACTGAGGGGCACTGGTAAACCTGCAGTCCCAACGAGAGGAGCTGCTGCTCTGTTGCATTTACAGTCTGCGCTGGGCTGGTGATATATTCCACGGAAGAATTCAAATTATTTCAAAGCCATGTTAAAGCAGCCTTTTCCTTTCCTTAACTGATGGGGAAAAGACTAAATAATCACGAAGGATTGAGGGTCGTGTCGAAGGGAAAGTAAGCAAGTAATCATCGTCATGTTCGAACCTTTCAAAAGAGAGGTTATAAAATGCCTTAAGGAATGAAAGAAATGAAAATAAAGGAAAAAGACAAGATGATGTTTAAGGATATGGATGCAAATAATTTTAAATACCAGCAGCCGAACGTAAATAAAATACCATCTGAAACTGGAAAAACTTTTACTCCTACCATAAAGTGTTTGATCAAGGAATAAGTGAAGAGGAATCTGAATGTGACCAGTCATTTAATTTGGTACTTGACAGCTACACTCAGTTACACAAACACATTTCGGTCGGTATTAAAAAAGCAAATCGTGACTCGCTGTAGTATCCGTTCATCTTCCCTCTTCTCAGTTGGGGGAATACAATAAGCCCCAGATTTGGCCGCTCTGAGGTTTGGCAGGACCGACTACGGCAAATAATCTGTAACCACAAGAGCAAATTTGATCATGACTCCGAACGTGGCAACATCTCAAAAAATCCGTCTTGATTGGGGAGAAGGGGGTATGAGCTGCCACGAAGGCCCGGCGAAGGCAAACAGTCGGCGGCGGTTTGCTCGACATGATTGCCACGTAATGTACTCTAAAGAAAGTGCTCCGGGGCGGCGTTTAAATACCAGTCAGTCCCATTAACAAGATGTCAAACTAGTCGGATTCGTCGCCACCTGTTTGAGTTTTGAGGCGAACGTGTTCTCAGACAAACCGGTCTAAAAAAAAAAAAAAAAAAAAAAATGGCCAAAGTCACCGTTGAAAGTTTGACGTACGACCAGATCCGGTGAGTGCCGCCAGCCAAAAACCCACTGTCTCATCTGTCAGTCCAATCTCAGCTTTTGCACCTCTGTAAATCCTCCTTGTGGGGGATTAGGGACCCCTTCCATCACCGGCCATTCCTCCCCCTCAAACTCACATTCACACACCTGCTTACCCACACACGTGTGATTTTCTGCTCTAATACTTACTCCGCACGCCCACGGCCTCCCCCACCCTCCCCTCTCTCCCCTTTGTGGTTTCTATGTGCTGAGGAGATGGAGGGGCTTTTGAAACTCTGTCCTCCTTATTCCTCCTCCTCCTCCTCCTCCTGTCACACGAACTGTCACTGTCATCGTCACACAGGTTCCGTGTGGATCTGTCGGTCACGTATATTTTTTTCTGTGCTTGTCGGACGTTATGGATGTGTTATCGTTGACTCCAGTCTTATTTTCTCAATGTGCCTTCTCTCTCTTCCTCCTCAAGGCTGTCTCTGTCTCAGAGCCAATCTTTGCTGCAAACTAAACGACTCAAACTCCCATGTCCCGCTGCTTCTTCCAGCAGCACCACCCTCCCTGTCTCTACATTCACCCTGGCTGTCCTAGAATCCTCCCTTGCATCAATTTGTCCTCTTTTTCCCAGACATCCCACATCGGCCTCCTTCCCTCCCTTCCCTCTTTCCTTCTTCCATCCCTTTTCAGCTCCTCTCTTTTGTCCTCATGAATATTTCAGACGCGATGGCCACATCCTTGTTTCTGTAGAAGTAATAAAAAACCATTTAGCAGCCAACGCTAGTCAAAGAGAAAATGCTGCTAGTCCAGTTTGGGCCTGGCTAGTAAACAAACACCCCTAACCAGGTTGGTGATAAATAGGTCTTTAAGGATTTTTCTATGTGCCTGCAACTCCCAGAGGTCCTCAGTCCCACCTAGCTGCGCTGCTGAGCTCCTATTAAATCGCGGTATCAATCAGAAGAGTGCTCCGCCATCCCCGCTATTAATAAAATATGGATCACACCACCAGTGGATGGCAGGGCCTGGGGAGCTACCCTACTTTCATTAAAGGACTGTTTGGTTCTCTGCTGACGACAGAATGCGGCCCGTGAGGTATTTTTAGCGCTCAAGCCACGTCCCATCTCTGCGCCGTGAAAAATAAGACACGCACCAACCAGCCAGAAAGCATGGCTATTACTCCAAGCCTTTTCTTTTTTTCCCCCTCGTCATTAACAGCTTTGACATTAATGAATCAATATTCAGGTGATGAGGAATTCTTTATTTAGCCTCAAGGTTCAAGCTGCAGAAAATGGCTAAAGATAGATTTGTCTTCCAGTTGGAGACAAACCCAGGAGTTTCCATTAGATGACAACCAAAGACATGGTAGCTGAGTAGCTTTATAAATAGAGTCAGGACCTGTCAAGTCCAGTCTGGAGGGCTAACCCAAATGGAAGCCCCCCCCCCCCACCCCCACCCCTCCAGAACTGATCCAGTTCTGGGGCAACCTCCTGGAAAATAAGCAGTTAAATGACAGATTGTGGCCCGTCTAAAATAGACAGTCCCCTGAATCAGATGAAAAAATGACCCCTTTTTCAAATGTCCTATCTACAGTAATACCAGCTATAGCACTGCAGCCTGGAACTGTAAAGGACACATCAAAGTGTTTACTAGGTCAGCGCCACAGAATCTGATAACCTCCAGTCTCTTTTTTTTATTACCTTCATACCTCGCCGATGTTACATTGCTAAGGTAGTCTTATATAAAAGAAGTAAAGTATAACCTCCGGTTGACAAGGACATAAAAATGGAAAGAATGAGGTAAAATATGTTTTGTACAAGATCAGAAGTAGGTCCATAGGTAAAAAAGAACAATCCGTGTGACACTGAATAACAGATATTGGCTGTGACAGTCTGAAAAATAAAAACCTGGTCAAACCTGGATTTCAGCTAAAAGCCGACAAAAAATGTTAACTCAAGGGCAACTGACTAGCATTTTTTCTTCAAACGAGTTTTAATATCAACGTTTTAGTTTAGATTGAAGTTGAATTTACTTCACCGTCTTTCAAACGCTTAAGGATATTCAACATTTCAGAGCTTCTTGGATACTGCTGATTCAGTTTCAACTTCAAGTCGTCATACCCAAACTGCAACATATAAACCGCCACAAAAGAGGTTTGGTTAAGCACAACTGTTTGATTCGTCATTCTGGCAATCTGGTCTCTCCATGTCCGGTTTCTAAGTCAAACACTTACGTTTGCTTAAGTTTAGGCGACTAAATATACTCACGGAAAGCTTAAAAATCGCTGATGAAAGGAAACCAAAGGTGACTTTAGGTAAGAGGTGGGATTGGGAACCTTGATAATCCGCTGTGAAAGTCAGTCAGTGTCACCTCAACTTTCTCCCTAGGAAGTTACTAAAATAACGTCACACTACTTCTGCCTTTGCTTCTGAGCGAGGACAGTCATTATTCACGGGGGGGGGCACGAGAGGCCGCTTGTCAGGAAAACATAAAAACACGGGGTATTTTAAGTGTTTGAAGAAATGACTGGTGGTGTCAGTGTTTTAGCTGTAGAAAACATGACTCTGTTGCCGCTGTAGCCGCTCGGCGCCTCAACAAGGACGCACTTGTGTTTTGTGAGGGGGGGGGGGGGCTCCGTGTGAAAATCTGCGCATAGCAGGAGAAAAAGCTGAACATCCGTCACTCTCAGCCTCGTTCTATCACCGCAGCAGCCGGCTTCTGATAGAGGTGGAAGAGGACAATGATCACATCTATTCCTCAGCACATCTGTCCTTACCCTCTCTCTCGCTCTCTCTCTCTCTCTCTCTCTCTGTTGCATTATCCATCCTCACAATTTCTCCTCTCTTTTTCCTCTCTGCCCTTTCATCCCATCCACACACACCCAGGGAGAGTCTATCTGATGACCCAGGCTATTGGTTTTTTCCTCTGTAGCCAAGCCACGAGTCAGCCAGCCGAACCTGAACGTGTGTGTGTGTGTGTGTGTGTGTGTGTGTGTGTGTGTGTTTGAGTATGTGTGTAATCAGTTCAGGCCTGGCTGCGCTAACATGGCTTGGTGAGTTTGTTAGCATATTATTAGCCTGGGGGGTTGTTGAAGCACTTCTCACATTATCTCCTCTAATCACTCCCTAACCAGCCAGACAAACACAACCTTCCATCAACCAAACCCCCCCCCCCTCTACCCCCTGCCCGCAAACAACCAATAACAAACTCCCCTGAAACTACCCCAGGCTGCATCCCATCTTGATTGGCTAAAATCAGTGTCAGTCACGGAGGAGAGCTCGACCACACCTCCTCTCACGTCTTCCTCTCTCCTCTTCGTCTCTCCTGTGGATTGAATTTGCGATTTTTTTTTCCCTGCATCCCCGTCTCTCCCGAGCCCCCCCAACCCCCCCGCCAGATATTTCACCCGCCCGCCTGCCCCCCACCACCTGCCACATCTCTTTTCCTGTTTGACAAAGAGAGAAAGAGGGCGCCCAATCAGACACACAATACAGGGCGCAAAAGAATTCAAATCGCTTTCATGCAAATTTAGACTGATTTACATTGTTGAGTTGTTGAAGAGAAGAGAGCAGTTGAATTCAGGTATGACTAATTTGGTCGGTGCGTAGGAGCGAGAGGACAAAACAAAAAAAAAAAATACGGAAACAGAAAGAGACGAAGAGGAGAAGGAGGAGAAGGAGGAGGAGGAGGGAGGCGGGGAAGACTTCAACAGCCAATCTCAGATGTTCCTGTGGTGGCGGTGGATGGTGGGGGGTTGGGGGGGGTGGTGGTGGTGGTGGGACAGGGGGTCGGGGACGGGTTGTGGTTGTCATGACACTGTGCTCATTTTTTCGGCTGTTGTTCCTACAGCGACTGAGAACACTGTTGTCCACCTGTGAGCTGTTCTCTGTATCAATCTCTGTTTTGGGTTTTTTTTCTTTTATAACAACGACGTGTCCAACCCTTTTGTCTTTGTTTTTGTTCTTTCTTGTCTTCCCCCCTCCTCCTCCTCTTCCTCCTCCTCCTGCCCTTCTGCCCTCCTCCCTCCTCCCTTCCACTTGTCCCTCCATCCCTCCCTCCTCTCCTCTCCCCTCCCTTACAGGATGTGCGTTTGTCACGTTTTCCACCAGAGCTATGGCACAGAATGCAATCAAAGCCATGCACCAGTCTCAGACTATGGAGGTACTGTACTCTTGCCCTTTCTTTAACTCTCTCTCTCTCTCTCTCTCTCTCTCTCTCTGCCTCTCTGGCTCCTTTTATAGCTGCACTTCACTCTGTCAGTGTGCCGCCAATTTAATATGTAATATGTGGGTCTCATGTTTGAATGTGTGTTTGCCCCCGAGTCACGACCTCCTACTGTACTCTCTCCAGGTTGGGCCTCGTAACGTTTTCATCTCACTTCCAGCACGGCTCCGGTCACATTAATCTAAGGCTGCAGCAACACTAAGTTAAACACAGATTCAATTATTTTCGTGCTTTTTCTTCTTTTCTTTTTTTTCTTTAAACTCAAATAAAATCACTTTTGGTTTGGGAACTGTTTAAATCAGGCAGCAGAGTTCTGTAATATACTGTATCTGTTGAATTAATGAGAAAATTGACGGAAAAATCTGTTGAAGAATCGACTCGATTTATTCATTCAGCCCAAAAATTACAAATTTGAGATTTAAAACCTGAACAACATGCAACATTCTCCATGTTAGAGCCTTGATTTAGATACAGAGAAACTGCACACACACAAAAACAAACCTCACTACGAACAGCGTTAAGTAAATAACACACCTGACGTGTAGTAGACGTTATCTACAGAGCTGCAGGTGAGAAAGAAAAGTGGGGTTTTATTCTCCCTCCTCCACAGCAGGAAGGATTCTGTGACCTGACCTGATTACAACAGGTCCGGATAAAGCATCAGGTTTTCTCTCTTTCTCTCCTCCTGCCAATCATCGGCGTCCCCGTGTGTCACGGTGAGTCAGACGCTTTTACCTGAGTTTGGTCTTCAAGGTGCCGTGACAGGAAGGTTTCAGGTGCAGAACTTTAACGCCAGACGCCAAAAAGTCATGTTTGATCAGAGCCAATATAGAGATCAGCGTTTAAAGCTCCATGTTTTCCTCTTCTTCTGTGTTTTATTTTGAAGTGTTGATCCATCAGAAGATATATTTGTGATATATTTTAAGAACCAAAATCCATCTCAGTGTAGTTTGACATCTCCTCTCTCAGGCTTCTCTCTGGAGCTCTAGTAACAACAGGTAAAAACACTCAGAGAAACTAAATCCTGCAAGGTTTGGATGGTGGGTGCAAGTGGGCGGGGCTTGGTGACTGCTTTGTTGTGACATCACAAAGTTCCAGGCAGTCCTGACGGCTGGTTTTAAGGCTCAGTTTCTGAATACAGGCTGTGTGCATTTCTCTGTGGACTGAGGCTTTGATACTTTCACAGTATTAATATAGAAGCTAGAGCTGATCTATAATCACACTACACATGGACAGAGACATTTAGACTGTATGGGACCTTTAGGAGCGATCTATGTTACAGACTCAGTGTCTGAGAGGCTTTTTTTCTCGGCTCACTTGTGATGAAATCTGTGCTGTCTCCTCTTTATCCTGAATTTTCTAAAGTAGGACGAACTCTGGCAAAGTCTCAAAACTGTGACAGAAAGCCATCACCCCCCGACACAACAGTCACAATGGGCAGGTGGCATTACAGACCTCATCAGCTGCACAGCGACCCCGGCGGCGCCGTAATGGGGGAACTCAGCCGCCGCGCCTTTTGTGTTTCCCCCATCCCGTTTTTTTTTTTTTTTTTTTTTCTCTTTTTGGGGCGCCCTTGTCTCAGCATTGTCAGGCCCGGTGACAGGGCGGGATGACAGGCCTGTGATTGGGGAGAGAATTACATGGTGTAACCGCGAAATGCGAGTGTGTGTGTACATGTGTGAGTCAGCGAGGGAGAGACAAAAAACTGGTAATAACAGGCTGTGTTAAAGGGAGAAAAAGACGAGTGGCGTTCACCCCCGTAGCCCCCTCATTAGAGCTGATCATGATAATCATGGCTGCTATTGATGTGCTGTGACCCTGACATGGGGAAAACGCATGCTCCTCCCTCCGTCTGCCTCTGTGTGTGTGTGTGTGTGTGTGTGTGTGTGTGTGTGTGTGTGTGAGACAGAGAGAGAGAGCTAGGGTTTTTTTTTTGTTGTTTATGTTGTCACCCTGCGAATATCAGTGAAGTGTCTGTGTTGATTTATGTGGCCGAGCAGCAGCAGCAGCAGCAGCAGCAGCAGCAGCAGTGTGTCTGTCTTTCCGAGTAGAAGGAATGACACTCTCCTCCGACAGTGTTAGTATTAAGCTAGAATTATCCTCGCTCTGAGCAGTCGTCTGCCACAATGGGCCTGGTAAACACTGCCAGTGTCCCTCGCTTTTATCAGGCACGCAAAAAAAAAAGCCTTAAACCGTAACACAGCGATATTGCAGTGGACAATGGCAAAATACCTTCATTTCCATTTGAAAACAAGCTGTCTAGCCCCAGGCGGACCTAAATTGCCGCATCCGTTTGTTAATGTTCCTCAGTTTTGCAATTTAAAAGTAATTACTTCGTGTCCGAATGAGGGAATGAGGTCTGGTAAATAGAGTTTGGTTATTGTCTTGGCTCTATTGCACCCCACTGTCTTAGATAGAGCAAGATTGTGTGTGTGTGTGTGTGTGTGTGTGTGTGTGTGTGTGTGTGTGTGTGTGTGTGTGTGTGTGTGTGTGTGTGTGTGTGTGTTTTTCCCAACACGTACTCACCACATGTCACAAGGAGAGAGAGAGAGAAAAAAGAAAAGAAAAAAAAAAAAAATGCCGGGCGCTCCATTCGTCGATGGCCCTGTCACTGTCATATCCATTCTCATTACGGCGTGACATTCAGGTGCACATGCATGCACACACACACACACACACACACACCTCACGCAAACACACATGCTCCCTGAATGTCAGGCCGTAATGAAAGTGGATATGAGCGAGACAGGTAATTCACTGTCCAACCCTCTAAAGACACACCAGAGGAGAAGTGGGTCGGCTTCATTGTGTTGTATTTGTGTTGATTTGTGCTTTACATTATTCACTCCCTTTATAAAGACTCATTTAGCCCTCAGCTCCCCCCTGTGCTGAATTCCATCAACACTGATTCCTCTTTATTTCATTTATTTTTCTTCCACGTGACACTTGCACATTCATCCTGCCCTCATTGCACACACACACACACACACACACACACATATACACACACACCCAAAAATGCACAAGCGTTCAAGCACGTTTAGGCGAGAGCTTAACTAGAGCATGAGAGAAAACAGAGCAGTGTCTGTTTAAAGAGCGAACAAACACATCTGTCAACTGTGGTGAAGAGAGGCGACAGATACAGAAGGAAAATATTAGATTAGATTAATCAGGGGCTGATGTTGTAGAAGACGCCGTGTAAAGCTGCGTCGTCCCATATGTTTAGTAACAGAAGGAGTCGCAGTCAAAATTAAAACCTTTGTGCACCGAGTCACTTTACTGTGTTTTGTAACGTCTGACTAAAAGCCACGTGTGTGTAAATGCATATGTTGGTATGTAGCAAGTGGGATTTGCTAAATTATTTAAGGGTTTTAGGGTTAATTCACAGACCAGAAAGACAACGGTTAGGCGTAAAGCTCCATTCAGTCTAAAGAAACTGACACACAAAACCAGCTGTCAGGACTTCCTGTGACTTTGTGATGTCACAACAAAGCAGTAACCGCCCTGTCAGCCATGCCCCAAGCCCCGCCCACCTGGACCCACCATCCAAACCTCGCAGGATTTGGTTTCTCTTGAGTGTTTTTACCTGAAAAATGCTATATTTTTATTGGATCACTCAGAAAACAGTCAGCCAATCAGAAGAGTGGAGACTCAGAGCCTCCTCTCTTCTGATTGGCTCACCGACCTGTTGTTACTAGAGCTCCAGAGAGAAGCCTGAGAGAGGAGAGCGAGTGGAGGAAGAGGAAGTGACCTCGCCTAACCTGGATATTTATCATTCAGGAGCGGTGCAGGATTGGCTAGAATAGTATAAGTTGTATTAGTTTTAAACATACCATAGTACAAGTATACACCCTCAGTTCAATGTTTAATTAAATGCAGTAAGTCCTCACTGTTTTAGAGAAGCTGCAGTTTGTGCTGCTGTTGAGTTCAAACTGTAAATTCAAATTTGCTTTACAATTTGCATACAATTATTAAAATAAGATAAGACTGAGAAGACTTTTTATTGAGAGTAACAACAAATCAAAACATTAAAATTGAATCACTAAACAGCAAATTGTGAAACTAGAGAGAAGACAGAAGTTCAATTTTAGGGAACAGTGAACAAGCAGTGTAAATTTACCATGCTCTCTGTTTCTGACTTGACTTAAAACAACGCGCAAACTCCTCCCGCCGCCCTATTAGCAGCGGAGGATCACATGGTTTGACATTTAAAGGCCATGTGAGCGGTAAGTAAATGAGAAGGAGAAGGTTGAGAGCACATAAACTCTCTTGAAAGCTACGAGAGACTGATTTTCAAGGTAAACGCACTAGAGCTTATAAATTCAGTTTGTGCGAGTGCTTCTAAAGCGTTTTTTTTGGGGGGGAAGGGGGAGGGGTGGTGATGGGAAGTGATGTGTGATGCTCTCTTGGCAGCTGTCTCAGAGCGTCGGCTTCAGGTTTATTAGCCGAGTGACTTCCTGGTTAAGTCGAAACGCAAAAAAAGAGTCACAGACAAAGTTGAACTTTTTTTTTTTTTTTTTTTGGAGTGAGTCATCACAGCCTGAAGCGGCTGCTGACGTATATTCCACATGCTGTAATTGCATAATTATAAATGTGGATGCCATAATTACGCCAGGTGCCTATTGCTAGGCCTGCAGTATCATTTGGAGACTGTAGGTTGTCACGGGATCAGCCACCTGTCAATCACAGGTGTGCGGTGATGTCAGGACATCAGATGACCCCCCCCCCCCCCCCCCCGTGTTCGGAGAGCGTCTGTGAGGGACAGTCCACCCGCTGAATGACATGTTAGTGTACGGTACACGCTGTAAAGATGTGTATCTAAACTGGTATTTTTGTGTTGTAGATTTGTCAAAAAATAGCGTCTCAGAAAGGAGCGTTTTCCCTACAGAAACATCTCCTGGTGAGAAAGGTTCCTGTGAGACTGCGAGCGCTTTATTTTCCTAAGATGTGGAAAGTTGTGCAACATGGGAGACAGACTGTCTGCAGCTAAACATCCCACCTGACATCGAGTTAATGACATGTTATTATTAAAATATATGAAACCAGAGACTATTTAAGACAAAACGGTAACAACTTTTTTTTTATTTTTTATGGCTGTAAATTAGTTTTCCTCCGCTGGATAACATGATTGCCTGTTATTAATAAAGCCAGTGTATTTTTTTTTTAAGTGGTAATGATATACAGGAGACAAGTGAAGTATTTTGGTTCCCAGAAAGAGGCAGAGCCGTCGTGTCGCCCCCTGCTGTTTGTGTTCAAAAGTGGCCAATTCCAAACAAATCAGATGGTTTACAGACTTAGTTTTACACAACATGAGGTATAATTGCACCCAGCGGCAGGGTTTTCACAGACAGCCCATCAGCAACAAATACTTAGAAACATTACAGGCTCGTCAAATATTTTAACACACAAAAAAAAAAGGGTGGAGAGAACAGAACTGTGCCTGTGGTTAATTTAAGAAAGTCTCAATACACCCTTCAATTTCTGAAAAAAGAAAAGAGTGAGAGCTGAGGAAAAACACGGGTGTTTATCAGCTAATCGAATGTGTTTTGAAAGGGTTTCCTCGGCTTCTCTTCTCCATTGCCTGTTAAAGTTATAATCCTTATAATTTCAGTCCTGGTTCTTCTGGTGACAGCTCACTGGGTTTTAACAGCAAAACACTCAAGAACAAGCGCTGAATGTTTTTACAGTGCGAACAAATAACTTCATGATTCAATGAAGAAGTCAGCCTGACGATCTGATGTCACCCTGCAATATTTAAAACTCAACCGCTGTCGGAAACCTGCAGATGTCCTGTTTTCAATTAACACAAACCTCTGTGACAAATACACTGTTTCCTGTCACTGCTTCACAATAAAAGTCTCTAATTGGAACACTTTTAATATGAAACAGAAACAGGAAGAACTCTGTGTTTGTTTGTTTTCTTTAAATATCTAGTTAAAGTGCAGGATTAAATGATTAACCGTAACTAACCAGCTCCTGCAGATATTTAGACAATAAGTAAAACTTTAAATTAAGTAGTAATTGATGTAAAATGCTCCATTTTCTTAGTTTTAGTTTGAAACTTTAGCAGCGGCAGTATTTTGAATAAGCTGTAGCTGTCAGTTGGTCTTTTCTCTAACAGTGAAAACTACTGTAAATGGTAGTTACTGAATGTAAAAATCATTTAAAGGCCGTAGCAAGAATCAAAAATGCATCAAAAATGTCATTAGATTTCATGTAATGCATGAAATCCTTCAGCGTCACCTGAGTAAAGACGTGTTTCTCCCTGGACAGTGATGTTTCATCTCACTCACAGCTGATTAGCACTGGAGTCACACGCCGTTTGATATATGAAAGTTCAAGCTGTTGCTAATCTATGATGAATTATTAAAAATACCCCTACGGTAAAATCAATGGTGATTTGTTTCTTTGAGCAAAAAAAACCAACAGATGGCATAAGCCGCCACTTTCCCCCTCCACATGTTCTCCTCATTTCAGGGCAAAGTTGACCAACGGGGCCGATGGAGCCTGAAAAATGCGGCGTGTTGCTTTAAAGCGCTGCCCAGTTTTTCAGCGAGAACCGGCATTACCAGGAGCCCCCCTATCCCTCGGCCCCTCTCCCACGCCAGGACTCTCATTCTGGGCTGAATTTCCCCCGGCTCGCTGGGTGTCAGCTGGAGTAATGAGATATTTAGCAGAGAGGGATAGGGAGCTCCTGTCTCAAGGGGAATTGACTGCAGTGGCGAGGCCCCCAGACTGACACTCTCCCTCCGAATGCAATTCTCCCGTCGTCTCCTCTCCTTTATCTGTCGGCGGTCAGAATAAAGAGGGGAAAATGACTGCTGGAGTGACGGAGTAAATATGGCCGAGCCGCCGTCAGACAGGAGACACGCTCGTTCGGCTGATAAAGTCGAGCCCCGGCCCGGCGGAGGGGGAGTTGTCCGGTCGCACACATGGAAACACACACATACAAGTGCACTGTAAAAAAAAAAAAGAAAAACACACACACACACACATACACACACACACACACACACACCACAGGCCAGGCTCTGAATTAGCAGCTGTATTTTCACTTCCTTGCTAGCTTAGCGGGACATGTCATGTTTTATCATTTTCAGAATATGTCGTGCTGCTTTTCCTGATGTACGAGGTCTGTGGTTCTCAAAACCTTTTCACGTCAAGAACCTTAAACTGACACCAATTTGGGTTGATTGATTCTTGGGTTTCACATGAGGATTTACACGTGCTTCACACCTTCCACCACAAAATGTTTCCCACGTGGCAGCACATGTGATCCCCACATTTCACATGTGATTTTAACACATTTAACATGTGATTTTAACACATTTAACACACGTGAAATTTCACATGTGCACATGATTTCTGTGCACGTGAAATTCAGATTTGAAATTTTCTGTAAAGGTAGGCCTACAGAAAAAAACACATGAATTTCACATGTGCAAAATCACGTGTGGTCATATTTGCATGTGATTTTTTGTGTGGAACATGTGCTGCCACATGGGAAACATGTGGTTTTGGAACATTTTCGTGGTGTAATGATGTAAATCCTCATGTGAAACCTTTGAACATAGTTTGTTGTTTTTCAGGACTCACATTACTGCGCTTGAAACTTTGAACATCTGCAGTATTTGTGACACGTGACGACACGTGTGACATGTGATCAAATGTAAGAAACACATGTGAAACTCAGGCAGTGTGACGGATCTGAAATTATTAAACAACAAATTAATTTTGATTGTTTACATAATTTATTCTGGCAAAAGGAGCAAACAAATCATTTGAAATTGTCATCATGGGCATTTTCCCAGTTTATACAGAGATTATTAATCAGTCAATCAAAATAGCAATCAATCAATGGATTTCTAATGAGTAGTGATGATTAGTTGCATCCATACTCATCTGAGATACACTAAAGGGGGAAAAAAATGAGCCTCCATCGTGAAACTCTCTTCAGTTCAGAAGAAGGGTCTCTTGAGTGTTTGAATCCAAATGAAGTGCATGCTGGGAAGTCTGATGAGCTGACGAAGTTTGTAATTATTGCTTGAAACCGTCAGATCTGACTAATTAGAGTTAGTGACAAAAGACGATCGGCACTCTCGTGTTCACGTAAAGGGGCGCGTACATACAGTCCCTGTATGGAGACACTGACGGCACGTATACCTGCGTGCACCTCAGCCGTGACTGAGCACAGGAGCCGAATCCCTCCTCTCCCCCGCCGAGCGCCGATCGTGTCTCAGACTAAATGTTTCAATCAAAAGGTTTTTATCCTCCTGTGGCAGACTGCCTTTGTTTCCAGCGGATTTGCCGCTAGTTAGTCTTTGATTGCAGCGTGTGAGTAACGGCGTGGTGCGATAGATTATGACTTACCGTCTCGGCGTCGCTGCAACTTTAATCAGGAGCATTGTGGAGGTTTTTTTTATTTTATTTTTCCTCCTTCGTATTACAGTTCCCTGCAAGTGTGTGTGTCTGTGTGTGTGTGTGTGTGTGTGTGCTAGATGTCCGATATGTTGCCCACCTTGAGTCAGACAGTTCATTCATCTCTCTCTCTCTCTCTCTCTCTCTCTCTCTCTCTCACACACACACACACACACACACACACACAGCTCTCAGAGGGATTGAAATCTGCTCAATCAGACACACTTCCTTCTGTTTGTCCAAATCTCCACATCTCCCTCTCGCCCTCGCCACCTCTTTTTCTGGACATCCCAATCACTCTCTCTGTCTCATTTTCTCTTTCTCTCTTTCACACACACACACACACACACACACACACACTTTGGCACATACACACACTAACACACACACACATCAAGTCTTTCTTCATATGAGATGATGAAATAGTTGGAGAACACAGGAAATCTGTTTCTGGTGAAACCCTTCTGGACTCAGAGATAACTGAGCCCTTGTGGGGGAAAGAAGAAAGCCCCACTGGCTTTAGACTCAAGTTTCCTGTGTGACTCTGTGTGTGTGTGTGTGTGTGTGTGTGTGTGTGTGTGTGTGTGTGTGTGTGTGTGTGTGTCGCATGTCACAGAGTGTGTGTGTGTGTGTGTGTGTGTGTGTGTGTGTCGCATGTCACAGAGTGTGTGTGTGTCTCTTATTCTAAGTATACATCATCTACAATCAATCATTTCATTATATACAGTGATTATATTTTAAGTGTGTGTGTTATCTAACCATCTTTTTATCTCCTCTTTTTCTCCCCATTCCTCATCCTCCTCTTCTTCTCTCCTCTCGTTTTTTCTTTTTTCCTCTCCTTTCTCATCTGTTCTCCTCCCCTCGTCTTTCTTTTTCCTCGTGTTTCATTTCCTCTCCTCATTTCTTTTTCATCTCTCGCCATCTTTGTTTCCTTTTCTTTCTTTTCCTCCATCTTATCTTCTCTTATCTTTCATCCCTTTCCTCTCCTCTCCTTTTTCTTTCTCTTCTGTTTCCTCCTCTTTTCTTTCCTCTCCTGTTTTGTTTTCTCCTTTTCCTCCTCTGCTCTTCTTCTCTTTTTAATCTTTGCTTGTTTTTTTTATGTTTCCTTTCTCCTCTCCTCTCCCCTCTTCTCTTCCTTTTCATCTCTTCCTCCTCTCCTCTCCTCCCTCCCCCCCCGCAGGGCTGCTCGTCTCCCATCGTGGTGAAGTTCGCCGACACGCAGAAGGACAAGGAGCAGCGGCGTCTGCAGCAGCAGCTGGCGCAGCAGATGCAGCAGCTCAACAGTGCGACCACCTGGGGGAGCCTGACCGGCCTGGGCGGCCTCACCCCACAGTATCTGGCTGTAAGGAGAGCCGCCGCGTCGCCCACCTCCACCATCACCTCCACCCCTTACTGCAGCCCCATGGCCAACGCCGCCGCAGTCAGTGCCCCGACCCAAAGCATTCAGCTCCAAAAGTCCCACAATTCATTTTCCTCTTTTCTTTCCTTTGTTCTCTGACTCCTCCTTCAGTCCTGCCATTGTTCCCTCCCTCCGTCCTCCTCTGGGGAGTGTTGGCAGTGAGGAAATGAGGTCTCTGAATTTGATTTAAAGCCGACAGAAGATAATATTTCATGTTTAACATCTCAAAAATACAAGGACACAGTGTTTCCATCTGGAACATTAAAATTCTCCCTGCAAAATAATTCCAATCAAATCCTTAATGCAAAGACGTGTTTAGGAAGGACGTCCATGAATGGTTATTTATTACTGAAACAGATCTTCTCTAACTTTTTCCTATGGAAAGCCAGAAGGGACAAAAATCTACAACTTCTAATTATGTCTGTTTCTAACTATGTGTTCATTTATATTCTATTTCTCCAGATTGTACGTCTTAAATAATCATGTAAACATTAGAAAAACTTTAAAAAAAATAGTTAATAGTCAAAATCACAAAACAACTATTCTGCCACTTTTATCCAAGAAATTCAGTTTATATACAAAAAGATTATATTATATATTTTTTATCAACATAAGGAAACATTTTTAACACGTTCACTGGTTATTTTCAGGCAGCTTGAGGTAACCTCTTGGGTGAGGTTTGGGAAAGATGGCGCTGTCGGTCGATCGACAACGTCAACAGTGACACGAGACGGGACGTGTTTGCTTTTTCAATATTTTACTTTCTCAAACCGCAGCCAAAGACGTCATCACAGTCTCTGTTCTCCAAGTCTTTTCTGTGGCACCTAGTGGACAGAACAATAATAATAATAATAATAATAATAATAATGATAATCTCCTCCTCCACAAGGTATTAAGTAAAAAGAGAAAAGTAGTATGAAGTTGCTTTACTGATGTCTTCTCTGCTCTTCTGTCTCCAAATTAGTTCAATTTGAAAATTCAAATAAACTGAAGGATTCTTTGTTGTTTTTGTAATTTACTTCTTAAACTAAAGAAAACATTTAAAACTCCATGAAAAAAAAAAAATAATAATTTCTTATCTTATGAAAAAATTACATTTTGGAGGCAAAATCTGTCAGAAATGTTCACAGGAGCTTGTTTCCAGAGTTTATTTTATTTATTTTTTTTCTGCTATAAACTCGAAGTGTGATGAAATCGTCGTGGGGCTTCTGTCAGGGAACAGTATGGAGTCCACGGATCTCCAGTTTAAGAGCTGCTGCGGTTGAAGCTCAGCTGTTGATTTGTCTGATTGGGACGTTACCAGGTTTCTGTGTCTTCAGGCACCTCATTCCCTCCCCCTCCCTCGTGCACCCCACCTCCCCCCTCCCCCCTCCTCTCAGCCTTGTCAGGACTCCTCTGGTAGAAAGTTGTGGCGCTAACCCCTCGACTCATTTCTCTTCATGTTTCAAATTAACAGCCCGAACCCCCTTTAAAATAGACATCTCAGAGAGTCTGTGATTTGGATTGTGAATCTGTTTGATCCTAAGTGCAATTTGCACCTGTCTGTTCAACGAGGGGAAACAGAGCTCAGACAAACATCCATCCTTTACTGGATATTGATTTATTTTTTTGGGCAAAAAATAAATAAATAAAATAAAATAAAATAAATGAGATAAAAAGTGTTTTGTGAATTGGGCTCCAAGATTTTTCAGTCCTCTTTCTCAGTCTTTTTGAAAAGATTAAGCTCTATTCTGGAGGAAAAAAAAAATCACACACACAATAGAAACAAGATGTTAATTTGCTGTTAATTCGAGTCTTTGAAGGATGAGTTTTTGACAGCATCAGTATTCCACTTTTGTTTTGGAATCTAATTAGTCGGCTAGATTAGAGCTTTCATGCTCAACTTGTCTGAGAGAATCATGGTGGAATATAAACAGTGTTTGCTTAGAGGAGAGATCAAACTATATTAGCAGCTCATTTACTCATCGAGCACTGATGCAAAAACCACATTGCTAAACCGCTCATTACGAGTTTAGCTTCCCAGTGTAGCATTGTATAGACATGAAATAAGCTTCCTGTATCCTCCCAGCTCACTTCATTTTCTCTTTCTGCCTTGTCTCCCCTCCTCTTTTTCTCTCTCTTTCTTTCTCTCTTGCCATCAGTTGCTTCAGCAGGCAACCTCCTCCGGTAACCTAGGAGCCTTCAGCGGGATCCAGCAGATGGCCGGTGAGTCAAAAAAATTCAGTGCGAAAATAAAACCCCCCCCCCCCCCGAAAGCACGATCTACCGCGGCAATGGACTCTTTGTTGCACCTCTCTTGTTATTTTTTTTCACAGACTTCTAAAAGAGGACCAAAGAGCATAACAGATGAACTCGCGTGGTGGAGTAAAGAGAGATCTTTGCCCTGAAGATTTATTAACTGTTGCTAAGATTTATCTTGATCTTTTAATGAGGCCAGACAAGAGTTGTGCCCTGGGCGTGTAACAGTAACACCAAGGCTTTGTCAGGGATGGATGAATCACAGAAAGGAGAGAAGGAAAAAAGAAAAAAGGGGGGAGTGGAGAGAAAACGGTTAAAAGTGGGTTTCTTTTAGTGGATATCTTGCTCTGCAGGCTGGCGCCATCTACTGCTCTCTTGCTGTTGGAGGGTCTGTGATCTGTCATCTCCGCATCCACATTTCCTCTCCAGAGCATCTGCGCGTTCCAGGCGCATTTTAAAGCTTTTTATGGCCATTTTTAGTGCTTCAGTTTAAAGCCAATTTAAAGAATAAAATAAAGAAAGAAAGTTAATAAAAAAAAATCAACCAATTTTGCGAAGTGAAAGTTTTCCTTCTAAATGGGAATAAGAAAAAAAAAAGGACACAAGGAAATAAGACGTAAAGTGGTGAGGAACAGTCTAATTCTCTTAGGTGAAGCTGATGCAATAAAAAATGCATATTGTATTAACCCAGTTCTGTATTAATCTAAGCCTTGAGCGCGCCAAGGAGCCTCCATTAAATGCTGAACAAGATAAAATCTCTGTCTTTAAGAAATATAATTTTTAGGGCTTCAAATTGAGGTTATTTAAGAATTTCAGGGACCCTCTCGTCCTCCATGACTTCTTCTCTCTTTCCATTAAACTCTTCCTCCCCTTCCCCGCCACTCTCTCCTCTCTCTTCTATTTATTTAAAGCCTCTTTTTTGCAGATACTCTTGCACCTCCCGCCCTCTTCAATCACAGTCTCCTCATCTCACCTTCCCTCCAGTCTGTTCTATCCTCTGCTTTTCTTCTCCGTCTTCTCCTTCTCTTTCTTCCTCCTCCCCACTTTGGGTTTCTCAGCGAGGTGTCAGCTTTTAATTGTGCGCTGTTTAGAGGAAACGCTAAATGATCCGAGTGCGATGGGAGTGTTTAAGGCGGAGAGCCCGGCCTCGTGTCCTCCAGTCTTCTGTGGTGTTCCCCTTGGGTTACATCGCCTTGAAATTTCCCTGTGGCCGTTTTAAAAACTTCTTTTTTCTTTTCTTTTTATTTTTTGCCTTCTCTTTCTGTTGAGCTCAAACACACATTATCCTGACAAATAACACACACTCACATGGATAAATAGGCTGTGGGATTTGGAACCAAGGGCGAGTAACATAGTCTGAATCTGGAGATCTGCTAGTCCTCCATCTGCAAGAGAGAGAGACAGAGAGAGAGAGAGAGAGAGCATTAGTGATTGGCAGGAGATGTGAGACAGCTGAATGACATCTGGTCCCAGTCTTTAACACGAGGAGCTGCAGAGCTGAGAGGCTTCAATTACACCAATGAGCATTCAATTAGACGCAGCCAACGCCAGCCTGGTGCAGCCCAGCTCTGCCATACAGGCTGCATGGAGGGCGCACACACACACACACACACACACACACACACACACACACACACACACACACATATGTACTCACACACTCACGTACCATCTGCACAGCCCGGATACTCCGACTCTGATGTGGGAAGTAGATTGTATTTGTCGCACACTGTCTCTCTTTCTTCGCCTCCTCTCTCCTTCTCTCTCTGTGCGGCTTCATCTCTACTTTATTCCCCTCTAACCCAGTTATTTTTATCTCCTGCCTGCTCCTTTTCTCCTTATAACTGTCTTGAAAATGTATGTTCAATGAGGGAGATAGCCTTTGACAAATGCAAGGAAGAATTGGTGTAGAGCTGCTTTGAGAAAAAGGTGCAGAGAGAAAAAAAAAAAAGAAGAGGTTGCACAGAAAGAGAGCTGCTACGGAGTCGTCTTTGTCATCCGCATGAGGGAAAGAAAAGGAGAGGGCCAGGAAAAACCGAGAAGAGAAAAGAAAGGCTGGGGAGAAACGGAGGTAAAGAAAAAGACAGAGCAGAGGATGGAAAAGTGGGAACTGGAAGGGAGGAAGAAAAGGAGAGGAAATAGGGAGGCAAAGACATGAAAGGGCACAAGTGAATGAAAGGGGAAGGAGGAAAGGAAAACAGAAAAGGCAGGAAATGAGGAGGAATTGGGCGTTGAAGGTGTAGGGAAAGGAAAGAAAAGACTGTGAAGGTAATGAAAAAGGAATAAGAGAAAGAAAAGAGGACGAAAGGAGGGAGGAAAGTGGGAATAGGAAAAAGGACAAGGGAAAAATACAATGAAATGAAAGGGAAAACGGAAAAGGAAAATTAAAGAATAGGAAGAGGAAAGGAAGATAAAGACAAAAGAAAGGGTGGAATATGAAATGGGGAAGAACAGGAAAAAAAAAACATAAAATGAAATAAAGGGAAAAAGGAAATATATGTTTATGTTTCCCTTTTCCCTTTTGATTTCCTTTTATGAGACGATGAAGAAAATGAAAGAATAAAAGAGAGGGAACTGGTAGAAGATGGTAGAAGAAGAGGAAGCAAATGAAGAGGAAATAGAAAAAGAGGGAGGGCAAAAGGAAAGAGATAAAGGAAGAGGTGAAGGCAGTGAATGCAACACAAATGCTCTACAATGATTATTTGTTTACATCGTGATCGTGAACACAGCGACGTGATAAAGTCCTTTAAACTTTGAGCCTCTGGTCAGACGTAGGAAAAGGTGAAATAAAATAAAATCTCCTTCCATTACAATAAAGAGCCGTGGAGGAGAGCGCTCGTCCTGCTCATGTGCAGCTTTATCTTCCTTATGAAAACAACAACAACAACAACAGCAAAACAACAGCAAAACATTTGAGCATGCGTTCAGCGAGTGTGATAGAGCGAGTGACGGCGACGGCTGTTTGATTCCCGCCTTGCGTACAAATAGAAATCCATTTTAGCTTTTGATGTATCACAGAAAATTGGAGAAAATCGCTTTGAAAACAAGATTGGTTTTGGCTTCGGTGCGCTCGTAAGTAAGCACAGATGAGTAAAGAGGGGAAAAAAAGAAAAAATTCACACTCGAATGTACATGCTCATTATACTGCCAGCACACACACACACACACGTTTTAACTTTGCTTTACGCACTCGCACACGCACACACACACACACACACACACTTCCCGCTGCTCAACAACCTGAAAACAAGAACACAGCGTTTAGGAGCTGGCAGTTGTCTCTCTCTCTCTCTCTCTCTCTCTCTCTCCCTCTCTCTCCCTCTCTCTCTCTTTCTTTTATTTTATTTATTTCATTTACCAGTGAGGACTGTGAGTCCCAGTGATGGATCCAGCCATCTGTTGTCACTGGCTGCGTTGGGGTTTGGTCGTCCGGGTGAAGGATATCTTTGTGTAGATGTTGCAAAACCTCGAACGCATTCACCACGGTGTGAAAAACCAAGATGGATCTTCTTCATGGTGTCTTGTTCGTGTGCGTCTATTTGTATGTGTGTGTGTGTGTGTGTATGTTTATTTTCTTTTTTTGTTTGTGTGTGTGTGTGTGTGCGTGTGTGTGTGTGTATTCCCATGGTACTGTATATACATCCAGACTGTATATACGACACATACACCTCACATTGACAGTGTCCACCCTTTTTTAACTTGTACTCTAACAACAAGCTCATGAGTCAAAGGCTTCTTCTTCTTCTTCTTCTTCTTCTTCTGTGGTAAGACCAACTTCTGCTCTGGTGACTGGGTCTGTTTTACACACACACACACACACACACACACACACACACACCTGCATAAACGCATTCACATTCATGAAGTAAGGTGTAAGGTGGAGTTGTATTCACAGAAGGTGCTTTATAGCCTCTGCTGCACCATCATTTAGGTGTTGGCATGTGGTCATTAATTATGCTTAAGCACAGGCCCGTATGCTAATGCCACAGAGCAGATTAACAGTGAGGAGCCTGCAGGTGTCCTGAAGTACGGCACAGTGCTGGCCAATGGGAAGTCTCAACCATGAGTAGAGTCTGACTGATCATTACCAGGCCGATATCCAACGATGACAGATTTATTGATGTCACAGTCGACAGATATGCAAATAGACATATTATTGCATGAATGTTTTTTTTTTATTTTTTTTTTATTTTTGCCCTTATCTTTTTTTAACCCATTAAGTGTCAGCACTGTTTGAAAACGACCTCCTAAAACCTGAAGGTTTTCCCAAAAAAACTTGATGTCCACTAAAACCTTTATCACTCACATGGAAACATGAAATAAAAACCCTTTGAAAGCTTCGTCAGTTTAACCTACTAAAAAAGTGCAGGTGTGAAATTATTATTTATTGTGAATCACTGGCTTCGCCTTGGAAAGAAAAAAACATTCTCAGTTTAGTTCAACTGTTTTTTAACGTCTATTGATTTTCTTTTGAAGAATGTTGATGAGCATCAGTGATCGTCAGTGATTTACAATAAAAGCCAAAGGTTTAAGGTCTCACTTCATGTTTCTACCTGATTCAGAGGCTGGGAAATAAAGGTTTTAGTGACAGCGCGGCGTCAGGTGAATCTTTACATTTAGCTAGCGGAGCCTTGACTCTCTGGGTCGCAGCTCAGCAGGTTGAAGTCAGTGTGTGAATCTCACCAACCAGGTAACGGCTGTAATCTGCTTCGGTATCGCTCCACAAACCACTGACAAAACAAACCAAATACATTTCCCATGATGGATCTCACCTTCCTGACACGCATTTCAGCGAATCACGGTGCGTTTCATCGGTCACATAAATGATGTAATCATAAACTACTCCGGACTTAATGGGTTAATTAAAGTGTAAAATACAGTGTTTTTGCTCTATTTTTGCTTTTATCAACAGTTATTATTATCAAATACTGTTTAAAACTGACTGCCCATCTTGTATTTATTGTAATTTTCTTCAGTAAAGTTCATTGATCATCTGTAAAAAAAAAAAATATCATGTTTTAAGTTAAGAGTTTATTATTTTAGTTTATTTAACAGGGACAACGCAGGAACTGTAAGTTAGCCAGAGTTAGCTTAAAAAGCTAAACGTCCTCTGTTAGCCCCACGGCGGATGTAGCACCTAATGAAATCAATATCAACCTCAAAAACCTGGTATCCGTCAGGCTCTAATCATGACGCAGAGTTATAGAGACGCAGGTCTTTACTCACCAGCTACACTTTCATTTATACGAGCTCAAACTAGCTGAGCAACAAGGTGCCAGTAAAAACCCGGATAACAAGACGAGGAAGGTTATTTTGTCGGGTCCTTTCCTCCCTGAGCTTTAGTCTACTGCTGCTCCAAGTTTAACTAGATCAGTGAGATTATTTCTGCCTCAGAGAAAATGCACCAAACCTAAACACTGCAACAGCTGCTTTCGCCTGATTCAAACACATCTGGGACTTTGTTTGTGAAATCAGCTGTTGTAGTGTTTTGTCTTCACACCCCACACACTCTCTAAAGACAAGAGCAGGAAACACAACGACGATTAGTTCACCCACACACTCCACTGTTGTCCTCTCTCACCTGCGGACAGCCGGCAGCTCTCTCATGTTCAGTGCTGTCCTGTGGTACACTTGTCCCGGTCCAGCCAGGCGACCCGGCCACGCCTCAGCCTCGCTCCCCAGGTTTGACACCACCCTCTCTGGCTCCTCTCTCCAGGTATGAGTGCTCTGCAGTTGCAGAACCTGGCCACTTTAGCGGCGGCAGCGGCGGCGGCCCAAAACTCAGCCAGCCCCTCCACCGCAAACCCCCTGTCCTCCAACGCCGCCTCCCTGGGAGCGTTGGCCAGCCCAGGTAACGCCGCAGCCTCTCAGGTTGGGGGGTCCGACGCCGGGGGTCGGGGAGGGGGCCCAACGCCTGCCTACGTTTCTCCGCTCTCCACCGTTGCCATTACCAAGTGTTGTCGCTCCCACGTGATCCCCCGGCACTTCACCGCCATCACCGACACCATCAACCAACCATCGTTGCCGAAAACATAACCATCTCCATTGTTCAGACCCTCGTCAGTGTTGTTGGCACATCCCCATGGTGTGTGTAACCCACCGCTCCTCAGACCTCCATCTTTAAAGAGAAACCATGCTGTGTTGTCGATGCGCCGCCTGCCTCTGCGTCCTCCTGTCTTTGAACACCTCACTCCCTCACCATGTGACCAGCAGCCACGCCATCCCGTGATACACGCACTGTATATGTGTGCGCGTGTGCATGTACTGTGTGTGTGTGTGTGTGTGTGTGTGTGTGTGTGTGTGTGTGTGTGTGTATGTGTGTGTTTTGTGCTTCAGTGTTTCCCATGTAGGAACCTTAGAAAGGTAGATGTGTCGTTTCCCGGCAGACAGGGGTCTTTTTTGTTGTCTGCACCTTTTTGTGTGTGTGTGTGTGTGTCTGTGTGTGTGTGTGGGTGTGTTGGTGTATGTTGGTGTTGTGTCTCCGCTCATGGTTTTGTGGGGGGGGTTTAAAGGGAGAGTTGGGGGTTATTTGACGTGGGCTTGTATGACGTAGTGTTACCTGCAGTAGATTCTGATCAGTGCGCTGCAGCGGGAGCAGCAGGAGCATCAGGAGCATCAGGAGCATCAGGAGCATCAGGAGCATCGGTACGCTAGCAGAGCGATATCCTGCTGTGGGCGGGGCCAGCAGAAAAAAACGTGTTTTAGACACTTTTAAAAGCGCCCACTGAACCAATCCAATATCCGTTAAAATTTTGCTTCATGCAGGATATTTTCGGGCCGTTTATCTTCCCAGGAAAACAGCTCTTTCCTTTGGCGCTGTATTTTGCCGCTTTCTGGTTCACTCAGCTGGAAAACGTCGCGCCAAAGGAAAGGGCTGTTTTCACGGGAAGATAAACCGCTTGAAAATATTCTGCATGAGGCGTACATTTAAAGGGATATTGGATCGTTTCGGTGGAAGTTTTTAAAAGCATCTCAAATGCGTCATCTCTGCTGGCCCCGCCCACAGCAACACACCGTCCTCCTGCTCCTCCTCCTCCTGCTCTTCCTCCTGCTCCTGCTGCTCCTGCTCCTCTTCCTCCTCCTGCTCCTCCTCCTCCTCCTGCGCCTCCCCTGATCTGCATCTCCTGCGGTTAACGCACCGACCGTGCGATGACTACCTCACACAACCCCACGTCAGATAACAACCAACTCTCCCTTTAAGAACTACCAGCTCTGAACTGGATTCAGGTTAAATATCGCCACCTTCAGATTCTCTCCTTCCCTTTTTTCTCCCGCACCGCCTCACTCTCACTCCCCACCTCCTCCTCCACCTCCTCCTCCTCCTCTCCTTGTGTTCCTTCTCGTTGCCCTCGTCTTTCGCTGCTGCCCTCCTTTTGACAAGCTCCCTGTTTCTGCTCCATCATTCTCCCCTTTCATGTCGGCTCGGCCTCGCTTCAGCAGCCGTGGTTTTGCTGTCTCTGTTGGAGCGCACTCCCAACAGGGCATGAATATGAAGAGCCCCCCCACCACCACCACCACCACCACCACCACCACCACCACCACCACCCCTCTTCTTCTTCTTCTCCTTGCTGCTCCACATTAACGCTTACACCACTTCCATCCCACTTCCACCAGGCTGCCATGAATGCTCCCTTCTTCTTCTTCTTCTTCTCTCATCTCTCTATACTTTTCACCTTCTCCCTTTCACTCCAGCCTCTCTCTCTCTCTCTCTCTCTCTCTGAATATCAGTCACACCTTGAATGGCACACGCTCAGGTTGAGCTGCTCAGTGTGAATGAGTGGCGCTATACTGCATGTGTCAATGAAACTGAAAACGTCACTCCAGTTTGATAAATATAGACAGTTCTGCATGGAGACAGGCCAGCGTTTTTTTTTTTTTCTTTTTTTCTTTTTTGTTTTTGTTTTGCACCCTGTGCCGACATAATGCTCCCACTATCACACCATTTCTTAATATATTCACTGGCAATCCTGCTTTGTTGGCACCGCTTTGATGAGATCAAGGGTAAATGAATAGATGAAATCTTCTTTTTTTTTTTGTCTAAAAATAGAACAAGGTTGCGAGCTTTGTGCACCATACTTCCTGCCATCTCACCCACCCACCCACTCACTCACTCACATGGTAGCTCATGTACAGTATGGCACACATTTCACATGTGGTGTGTGTTCAAAGGTGTATGTGTGCGAGTTTGTGTCGACTTCACTCGTCGTCTGTTGTTGTGTGTCGTTGTGTTTAAGTGTCAGTGACGACTGTGGTTAAAAAAACAAAAAACAAAACTGTGCTCGAGGAAGAGTCTTTTATATGAACTGTGAATGAGAAAGAAGTTTCACAATCTTCTGAAAGTAGAAACTCTGCTCTGATTGTGCTCTTGCCTTTCTGTACATACAGTGTGTCTGCTTTTATGGATGGTCCTTGTGTGTTTTCTTTTGTATAATTTTGTATATTTATTCCCGATCGAAACAAAGCATTCAGAACTCCTCTGTAAAGCTGTAGATGTGTTTGTCATCTCCATATAATTTTTATATATGTCGGGTCAAGGTGCTGCAGCTGTGTCAGATTAATTAAAGGTGCTACTTACACCATCAAATCAACTTTGGTGTAGAGCCGCTAAAGAATGAGACCACTGTGGAGAAGATTGCTTTAACTCAAGTGCTTCTTGTCTTATTTTTTCTCCATTCATGCTTATTAATAATAAACACATCGTTAAGCGATTTCATCTTTACCCAAACACAAAGCTGAAGCTGGAGCTGCGCTTGCGCCGGAAGAATAGCGCCCAGTTCCTCCTCGACTCGCCAAAGAAATCTGACCAGACAAAATCTTCTCAGACCTTCACAGAAACATTCATTCAGCCAGTGTCTTAATGAAAGGAGATGTGAGTTTTTAAATCCGCACCTGGATGTCGGATCTGCATCAGAATACACACACACACACACACACAGACACACACACATCAGAGCGGCGAGTCAGTCGTTTAAATTCATCTCTCCGGGTTAAATACCATCGCATCACTCAGTGTCCGCCGTCTGCTGCACCCGCCTGGTCGCAGTGTCACGGCCGCGCTTTCAACAACCAGGAATCGAGTAACATAATATGGACACTCATCAACTTCACAAAAGTTTCCATTAAAAGTCTCTCAGGTATTTTATTTTATTTTTTAATAGATCCAATATCCTGCGAACTTTTCAGACGAGCCGGGGTCTGAAAACATGACCTCCGCTGCTGGAGGTGAAAATGTCTTCTCCGAGTCTTCTCAGCAGTGGTTTCAGTTGTTGCAGTCATAACATAAATATTTCAAAATTCTGACAATTTGCTGATGTTGAATGGCCACACGTAGCACCTTCTGTACGGATTGTATAAAAGCCGAGCTGCGTGCAACAGCCTGACTTTTTAATTTGTGTTTAAAAGGAAAGCCTTCACCTCAAACCGAGGAAACTTGTTAGATGCTTGTATAACACGTCTGCTTCTTTGTCTCCTACTCTCCCTCTTTACCTCTGTCCTCATCCCTCCTTTCTCTTTTCCTTTCCTGCTCTCTCTTCTTCTTCTTCTTCTTCTTCTTCTTCTTCTTCTTCTTCTTCTTCTCCCCTAGCAGCGGGCACCACAGCCAGCTCCAACGCCGGCGCCATGAACTCTCTGACCTCTCTGGGCACCCTGCAGGGCCTGGCAGGCGCAACTGTGGGCCTGAACAACATTAATGCACTAGCAGGTAGCGTCAACAGTGAGTATTCACCCTGCCATCAGCCACTCCACCTCCACCCACACCTCCACCTCCGACCATCGGCACCCAACTGCAACATCACCACCACGACGTGTGAGTGGATGCAGAGAGACGCAGTGTTACGGCTACACAACACAGCAATCATTACAGTTTGATTGATGTGGATTTGTAAAGGCTTTTCCACATGATTTTGTTACTAAAACTGTTTTTGACTTATTTAAATGAAAGATTTAAATCAATAATTCACCGTATTTTTACATTAAACTCCATATTTTACAAAAATAATATGATAGAAAGATGAAACAAAGATGGATAAAAGAGAAGAATTCAACCAATGCACAACAAACACTAAACTCCACTGAGTTTCCTCCATCTCTCTGTGTCTCTGTTTGACTTGTAAATGAATTGTCCTCACTCTCTCAATGATGGCTGCCTCACCCATTCATCTGACCACGGATATTTCCTCCACCCGTCCATCCATCCATCCATCCATCCATCCATTTCCTCCATTTCCTCCATCCTCTCCATCCGCTTCCTGGTTGTGTGCGGGGTTGTGCTTGCTGTTAGAGAGCTGGTGTGCCGTCCCGGCGGAGTTGGCGGCGTGCTGCTGTCACCGCACGCGGCTGTCTGTGTGGGACCGTGTGTTGTAGTCGTCTCACATCGTGTTGTGTTTCTGTGTGTGTGTGTCGCTGTTCTGTTTTCCGTCATCCGTACGAAGGGGTTCGAACGTTAGAGGAGGTAAAGCTGCCAGTTTTGTCGACACGTACTACTGCATCCGTGTGACGATTTTCCTGTGCCCAAAAAATACAGAATTTGATCATTTTCAGGCCAAAATGTGACAATTCTTCTGATAAACTGACAAAATTGGAGCATTTTCCAGCGATAAAAGGACAAAATGTTATAATTTTATGCCAAAACGATGTAATTTGATTAGTTACATGCCAAGAAGTTACAAGTCCTGCCCAGAACATGCAAATTTTTATAAATTTTCTGCCAAGAAAATACAAAATTAGAAAACGTTCATGCAAAAAAACACAAAACATGTCAAAATAATTTGCATTTTTTTTAAACAAAAATTAAAATTCTGACAAATTACATGCCAAATGTACAAACTGTGACACTTTTCATCTCATAAAATACAGAATATGTCAGAGTTTATGCCAGAAATACATTTGACAAATCTACTGTTGACAGTTTTCATGCTGCTGTTCCGTTTCCATGGACGAAAATTTGTCCATTTTATGCTACAACAAAATAAAATGTTTTCGTTTCCATGCTCAGTAAACATTACATTTGACTATTTTCCCACCAAAACCTTTGATCTACCCAGACAAACATAAAAAGACAGAAGTACCAGTTATTACAAAGTTTTGAAAATACTATTTTCATGTCAAAAATACAAACTTTTCATAAAATACAGAATATGTAAGAGTTGACTTCCCCAAAAAATACCAAACATGGCAGTTTTCATGCCAATGTTTCCATTTCCATGTAGGAAAATTACAATATTTGTCCATTTTATGCAAAAACAAAATAAGTTTAACAATTTTCAGTCCAAGAAAATTCAAAAAAATTGACCATTTGCCGCCAAAAACTTCTTAGAAAGATATAAAGAGACACTTATTTGATATAATACTTTACTTTAAAGTTTCACTCTCACTCCCTCAAAGTGTGGGTTCGATCCAGAGCAGACACTCGTGCGTCCACCCTCGTGTGAGTTTGTATTGACTGCACAGCTTGTGCGGTCGAGCAGCGTCTGCCGAGCTGTGCGGTGTGTGTCCTGCCTCTGACCTCCGGGGCGACGGGGCTGGGATCTTAATCAGCGCTGTTATGACAGCAGAGATCCTGTAGCACCGGCCTCTTCCACCACATTATTCTCCTCTGACCTTTACCGGCTCCTTGGCCGCCGTAGCTGTATCCGCTGTGTAAATCATATATGCGTCCACTTGAGCGCACACAGGTACAGAAACACACACACACACACACACACATGCTCGTCCTTTCAAAAGGAAGGGGTCGCTTTCGCTTTGCATCCCATTTTGTCCCCGCTAACCCTCCTCTCCTCTTCATGCACTCCCCTCAGCCGCGCCCCCCCCACACCCACCTAAAAACCACCACCACCAACCTCCCTCATTTAAACACATCTAGGCCTTAATTGAATTGCAAAGGTCACCAGTGCAATTATTCCTGAATAAATGAGTGACCTATAATCCAGAGCTCTGCGGTGATAATTTATTTCACTGTGTCTGACGGTGAGGCGACAGGACACCGAGCCAATGTCAGACCCCCTCAGACAAGTTGCCCTCCGTGGTGATATTAAGCCGTTACAAGCAACTAATGAGTGTTACTGCTGCGTTCTTTCACTTTTTAAACTCCCCCCTTCTCCCTCCCTCCCTCCCTCCCCCGGCTCCACGTGTCTGTCTTCACCCCTAAAGTGAGACGTCACCGGCTGGAAAAGCTCCGACTATCAGACCTCGCTGTTGATGTTTTGACTTCGCCGTCGTGAACGTGTAGGGGAGATAATTCTTCTGCGATACTTCTCGAAACGTAGTGGATCACACGGACGTCTGGTTTCTCCTGTCGATACCTGTGCAGCTTATCTGGAATTTAAATTTCTACTGAACAGATAAATCTGTCAGTATGTCTTTCTTTGTCATTTCATTTGGAGGGGACTTTAAAGATCCCCCATACCGGCTCGTCTCGGATAAGCTGTGTTCGCATTTTGGTTTATCACCGGGCGAATCACCAATATTGATTCAGCGAGGCGGCTTTATTTATAAAACACATTTCATATACAGGGCAGATCAGAGTTTATGGAAAGCATTGAGGCCGACAAAAACATACTGAAAGGCAAACCATCAGAAAAACAAAGTCAAGAGAGTAAAATAGGAATATAGAAGTACTGTAAAATAGAAAGAATCAATTAAATACTGCAGATGTGAAAGCAGCTTGAGTATTACACATTTTTTTTAACTTTCTTCTACATTATCTCTTAAGGCACTTTGAAATTCTTCAAATCTCTTGTGAAAACAAATGTTTGCTGAAGTGGATGAATCGTTTTAGTGCTTGAAATTGGTTTGTCAAAGTCTTAAGTTCCTAAAAATAGAGCAACATGTGAGTAAAATAAGAGATAGATATATAATAAACGCCTGAAATGAAAAGTGTTGTTTGTCACTCTGTCGCTTTCATTTTTACCAAATTTTAGAGGCCTGCTTAGAAAGTGGAGAATCTACAGATTCTAACAACATTCAGACCATATTTCTGCGCTTTATTATCGCAAAGGTATGAATAGAAACATCCGTCCAGCTCGAGAAACTTGCGATGCACTATTTTAAAAAGATTTTTCAAAAATAATACACATTTTTTCCCCCTGAACCCCTGACTCTTCGCTACCCATAATACCCCTCTGTTATTTCTAAAACAAACTAACACATCACGATGTAAAAACATGTAGATAAACCCTCCTTTACCACTGAGCAGTGCTGTCACTAAAGGAGTAAAAGTAGCCCAGAGCTTATGGAGCCTGTTCTAACAACCAAAGAGGCTATTTTATGCTTTAGGTGGCCGTGAATTACTCGCCCGCGCCCGTGGTTATAAAGTGTGTTTTCACGCCATTATTCTGGTGTTTTTCACTGCGTCCTGTTGTTTTTGTCGACGCTGTGTCTTTATGCGTGTGCATGCATCGCTGCGTGCTTTTTATCTCCAGTTGGCCTGTGTGCAGCTCTGGCTGTCATCAGCTACACTCATATTGTACTTTATTGTGTTGATACTAATTCTGTGTGTGTCCTGTGTTAGCTGTTGTGTTCCTGTGGCGTGTAGACACAGTATTGATGTGTCTTCTGTGTGTGACATGACATGTGTGTAACTAACAGTACTGTCTGTGTGGACATCAGTGTGTGTGTGTGTGTGCGTGCGTGGCGTCTGTTGTCGTGTATGTGTCAACGTGTGTGTTAGTGTGTGTATGTGTGGTTAAAAAAACACAACCTTCAGTGGGAGCGCTAATGAGTAAGTGCACTCTTCTTTCTTTATTGTTGGGTTTTATGTAAAGTTGCTCAAATGCTCTCAGGTATGGCGGCTCTAAACGGAGGCCTGGGCGGCGCAGGGCTTACCAACGGCACGGCGGGCACCATGGACGCGCTGACGCAGGCTTACTCAGGGATCCAGCAGTACGCCGCCGCAGCGCTGCCCACCCTCTACAGCCAGTCCCTGCTGCAGCAGCAAGGGGCCGCCGGCAGCCAGAAAGAGGGTCAGTAGCATGAGGCTGTACGTCAGTGCATCACTGCTGCTCAGTGTTTCCTCCAGGATTCACTCTGTATGTCTCACTCTGAGACATTTAAAGCTCCATCCGGTCTAAATGTCTCTGTCCATGTGTAGTGTGATTATAGATCAGCTCTAGCTTCTATATTAATACTGTGAAAGTATCAAAGCCTCAGTCCACAGAGAAATGCACACAGCCTGTATTCAGAAACTGAGCCTTAAAACCAGCCGTCAGGCCTTCCTGTTACTTTGTGATGTCACAACAAAGCAGTCACTCCCCTCAGCTATGCCCCAAGTCCCGCCCACCTGGACCCACCATCCAAAACTTGCAGGATTTGGTTTCTCTGAGTGTTTTTACCTGAAATCTGCTGTATTTTTATTCATCAGCCAATCAGAAGAGAGGCTCAGAGCCTCCTCTCTTCTGATTGGCTCACCGACCTGTTGTTACTAGAGCTGCAGAGAGAAGCCTAGAGATGTAAAACTAAAAACAAAAAAAAAAAGCCCACCTGGACCCACCATCCAAAACTTGCAGGATTTGGTTTCTCTGAGTGTTTTTACCTGAAATCTGCTGTATTTTTATTCATCAGCCAATCAGAAGAGAGGCTCAGAGCCTCCTCTCTTCTGATTGGCTCACCGACCTGTTGTTACTAGAGCTGCAGAGAGAAGCCTAGAGATGTAAAACTAAAAACAAAAAAAAAAAACACCAGAAAAATATAAAATAACTTTAAATGCAGCTGAAACTTATGTTTATTATTGTAGTTAGAAATATTAATATTGATAATATGAATCTGTAGTGATGTAATATCTTGGTAAAATCTCACATAAACCCCTTTAAGTGAAAAGCTTCTTATGGACAATCAGTGTAGCGGTGATTATGTGATATGTACAATAAATATGTGAAGAAACACTTTTACAATTTACCACAAATTTTATTGAAAATGTTTTTTTATTATTTAAAAAGTTGAACTACAACCTGTTGAAATCTGATTTTTTTTCCACAGATAAGTTTATTGTTTTTCTTTCTTTCTTTTTTGTCCAATGAAATTATTATTTTACTGAAAACTATGTATTTATTCTATATATACAATATATATTTATAATCTCAGCTTTAAAACACTTGGACCAAAGCATCTTAATCTCATTATTCAGGTTTTAAATCAACTAAAAATTAATTACAGAAATCTTTTTTTTACCAAATCTACAATCAAAATGAAATCTGAGTCATTCTGAGACATCAGCGTTTAATCAGACCTCTCTCTATGAATATCAATATTTTTGTTGATAGGCGTACATGTAATTTTATCATATTGTGGAGGAGAAAACGTGAAAGCGTTCAGTCTGAATATCAGTGCTGTTGCCGAGCGCCACCTTCACACAGATCCTGGCGGCTGAAGTTAAATCTACACAAAAGCTTTAGACGACAGCACTGAATACAAACCAGATGATGAAATGTCTCGTAAAACAAACAGAGCCTCATACTGTTTGTTTGTGCGCTTCTCATCTCTGCTTCCAACAAAGATAAATTTGTAAAGATGCTTTCTTTCTTTGACAGTCCATCCAGAAGTTCAAAACCCTCAGGAGACAAAGATGTGACAAATATTCAACTCCCTCTCGGCTTCATTTAGCTACAGAGGGCATATTTAATGACTCGGAGAGATCTGACCTATTAGGCTGATTAGGATGTGTGATAGGAGGGAAGCGGGGGGGGGGGGGGGGGGGGTCGACCTATGACATGCAGCTGAAAGAATGAATGAATCACAAGCAACAGAACAGGGAACAAGTTGTGTTCGTGGAGAGCAGAAATATAATTATTAGATGAAAACCAAAAGCTTTCATCTTTGTTTAATGTTCAATACAATTGCAGAATGTTGTTTAAAAGCAATAACAAACTCAAGGTCATGCAATATTGTGCTAAGCGGTGTGCTTCGGCTCCGTTCCTATGACGACAGCACAGCAGTGCCAGTCGCCACAATGCAGAGCTCCCTCTCCTGCAGTTTTGCTTGAATGAAAAACCCACTCTGACCTTATACCCGCTCTGCGTCTCCCCTCTCCCCCCCCCCCCCCACCCACCCACCCACCAGGTCCCGAAGGTGCCAACCTGTTCATCTACCACCTGCCCCAGGAGTTTGGAGACCAGGACATACTCCAGATGTTCATGCCTTTCGGAAACGTGGTCTCTGCCAAAGTCTTCATCGACAAACAGACAAACCTTAGCAAGTGCTTCGGTACGGCGGCGGAAGCGAACACAAATGCCTGCAGTTATCTTTACTTTTGTCTTCACTCTTAGTTGTGTTCAGGGACTGGATTCTCTGGCAGATACAGAACCTGATGATGCGTTCATGTCATATGGGAATAAAACTTAGCTTTTCCTCTGATATATTTTATTGACTTGATGCAAAATAATTGAGGATTAAAGATGCCTCACGTCAGCGTCAAGTCCTTAAAGATTAAACATCAACACGGACTCTTGTCCATCTTTACCATACATCCCATATGACAGGACGAGAGACGCTTCTATTGAAAAATAATGGTGCATTCAGGTGCTCTTTGTCAACTTTGCAGTCAAAAATATCCGGGGAAGTTGTCCTGGTAGCATGTCCCACAGTTTCCTCATAATCCCTAGAAAGGAAACTGATGTGTTTTACTGTTCATTCTTCAAAAGGTTCCTGGAGAGGTTTGTAATGTGGTTCTAATTATAGCTACAGTGGAGACAGTATTCATCTGGTAGCTTTTACAATTATTTAATTCCAATTAATTTTTAGCACAACCTATGTGGTATTTTAATCAGCGCACGGCACAAAATTTGTAAAATTACGGGACCCATAATCTGAATACCTGGTAATTATACAAAGGGGTCATGTGATGTTTCCACAGCTAACGAGTTGACATGGATCACCTGAACAGTCCCTCGTGACTTATTTAGACTTCAGGGGATCCGGTCCCTGAGCTGGAACAGGAAGTGATTTCTTTTCACCTGGTATTAAGAAGTTTGTTGAATGGGAGAGCCTCAAACTTTGTCTAAAAATGCATAAAAAGTCAGCAACAAAACCTTAAACACAATGCATCTCCATATTTCATGTAGCAAATAAGGGAAAGAGGAATAAATCAAGCATGGATCCAGGAAGGAACAGAACACAAACGTGTCTGATACTTGTCAGAAAATGGATTGTGAGGACAGATGCGAGACAAGCGAGACGAGGAGTTTACTGTCAGTTTTTAGAAGTTGTAAATATTACAGGAGGAAGTGAAGTGTGCACGGAAATGACTTACCCGGAGACAGCAAGAAAAAAAAACACAAAAACACAGTAGAAAACTCACTGTCTGCTCCAGGAGAACTTTATTCTGACACTTTGACCCCCAGTGGCCTCGGTCAAGTTGTTGACTCGGTATTTCTGGAGCAGATACTGCGCTTTTTGCCTCAGGATTTATTTTTGCAGACTCACAACGCCTCACATTGGAAGTGTCACTCTACCTCCTCTATTTGTTTTACTGTTATTCTATTTTACTTAGCTTTATTCTTTCATTGTTTTGTTGATGCAACAACCCGGTTTTCCTCGGGGGAGTCATTAAAGTTTAATCTTCTCTTATTGTGTACCAGAGGTGTATTTTAATGTAGATGTAAATGTAATCCAGATAAATCAGATCTCAAGACGCAGACAACATGGTGAGGGCATCTCGTGTAGCGTTTTAACATCGGTTTATTATTACACCTTAATTTTGAGGCAGTATAGTTGCTGTAAATAAACAAGATCCATCAAGTAGGAGCTTATTGGTCCCCACCTGTGTTTTATATTGTGAGTCAGAATTGGAGGGAAATCCGCCGCACCGCTCGGCGGCTCAAGACAAAGCTTTCATTACAGAACAGTATATCCGACAGGAAACAGTGAGGATTGTGGGAGATGTTGTCTTCATTTTAAGAGATGCTCACATAAATAATTCCACTGATCCCTTTGTAACATCTATCTGTCCAGACTGGCTAACGTTTGCATGCTAGCTGTGTTAGCTAACACATTAGCTACTTTTACATTCCTTCTCCTGTTTCTTATTCATATTTTTACTGTTTTAAAACACCTGTAAATGTTAGTTGGAAAGACACCATTTTGTCACATTTTTCTTCAATCAACGTCCCGTTCATTTTTTCTCCACTCTTCTCTGGTGTCCCCCCCCCCCCTTTCCGCAGGCTTCGTCAGCTACGACAATCCAGTGTCGGCGCAGGCAGCCATCCAGGCCATGAACGGCTTCCAGATCGGCATGAAGCGGCTGAAGGTGCAGCTGAAGCGCTCCAAGAACGACAGCAAACCGTACTGATCTTAGCACTAGGGTCTATCTGCTCCCCATGTTAGCACTGCTAGGGTAAGTCCCCCCACAAAAAAATGAAAATGACAAAAAGAAAAAAAAACAACAAAAAAAAAACAGCAAACCGAGCCACGACCTCTCTACACAGGGACTGGGGGGTGGGGGGGTTGAAGGGAGGGAAGGGAGGGAGGGGGAGACGACCTACAACCACCCTGAGGGAGACACACACGCCTTGTTTTTTTGTTTTTGTTTTTTTTTTTTTTTTTTTTTCTTGTTTTTCTTGCTTTTTTGAAGATTTTTATGTTAGCTTTCAAGTATTATTATTTATTACAATTTTATTTTTGTGACACACATGAACGCTTCCATTACCGTCATTACTTTGTGCAATTTTTTTTTGTTTTTTTGTTTTTTTTTTTACAATGGAAGGAAGTAGCTATCTTGGGTAGCTTTTTTTTTAAAAACAAAAAAAGTCTGTTTAAGAGTTATTTAATTTTTTTTCTTTGTCAGTGATTATTTATACATTTTTAAGGACTAGTTACAGCCAGAACCGAGGTACAGACAAAGGAGCCATGATGATTTTTTAAAATTTTTTTCCTCTCTCTCTCTCTCGATGTGAACCTGAGGCCTGGCGAAGGGTTCCTCTGTTTTTTTGTTTTTTTTTTTTTTTTTTTTTTTTTTTTGACGCGCACGCCGATATGCACATTCGACCTTTGACCTCCGCGGTGTTGGTTGCAGGCCGCCGCTGCTTCTCCAAAAAAGAAAAAAAAAACCCCTCTATCGCCTGCTGGCAACCCGGGAGCAAAGGCTGCAAAAATGTTAGTGGCCTCTTTACAGTTATAGTCAGTGGCAACATCAGCCTGCCATACAGTTACACTCCACCACCACAAGACGAAGAAAACACACACACACACACACACACACACACACACACACACACTCCAGCTATGTCTTATTATTTATGTGAAAATAAAAAAAACAGTTTTTTATTTCTCAGAAGATGAAAAAAATTAGTAACTACTTTTTCTGGGTCAGATCACATTGGTCTTTGTTGTGAAATGGATATTACAGCATGTAGAACATTTTCAAAATAACATCCAGAATTTGATGAAGGCTATAATAATAATACTACTAATAAAAGAGTTTATGGGTTAAGGGGGTAACTGAAAATACTTGATGTTTGTTGAAAGATTTAAAAAAAAATAATTCAAAGTACAGAAAGCCACAGGCCTGTAAATTTTATTTGTAAAAAAAGCAGTTCTATTTTTATACAACATTTTTACTGCCTCAGATGAAAAAAAAAAAAGGATTTTATTTATTGCCTATCGTTAAGTTATTGGACTCCTATAAAGTATACAGCATCATTAAAGTAGACCCTTGTGGAGAAGTCTCGTGGAATTGGGTTCTCCGGTGTTTTTCATGTTTTTTCAGTGCAGAAAACCACAATCACAAAACACTCCGCTGCCATTCGAACCGCACACACCACCACCACCACCGTCCACCTTCCCTGTGTCATTTCACACACACACGCCTCTCTGTGCTGTCCATCCATCCATCCATCCATCCATCCATCTCTCTCTCTCTTTTTACCACTCTCTCCCTCTCTCCATCCGTAGTGGGACTACTTCTTCACTTGACCAATTTCTACCTTTTTCTTCGCGTTTTTTATTCTTTATGTGCTCTCGGGTATAATTAGATTTATTTGGATGGTGTGTTTTTTTTTATATGTATGCCTCTTTGGCCGTTGATCGTTATGAAGTGGTTTTAATCCGCTTTGTAGTTACCGCCGGCCCGATCCCCACGCCCCCCCCACCCCCCCCTCTTATACCCCCACCCTTACAAAGATTTAAGAAATTTTTAACAAATAGAAAGAAATGAAAAGACCCCCCCCCCACCCCTCCCAAAAAATGACAACTATTTTCTCCCAAATGACAACATCCATCTGGGATCTGATGGATAAAGCTTTGGGTGCTCTCTGTTTTTTGTGTATATGTGTATGAATGAACGAATGAATGTGTGTGTGCGCGCGCGTGTGTGTGTGTGTGTGTGTGTGTGTGTGTGTGTGTGTTGTTGCCTGTTGGTATAGACATATAACATTAATATCATTTTCTATTACAAAAAAAAAAACCAACAAAATCAAAGCTAAAAAATTGCCAATGAAATCAGTGAGTGGTGTTGCTGTTCTGCCAGTTTGCATTGTTGTTGTTGTTGTTTGTTTGTTGTTGTTTGTTGTTGTTGTTGTTGTTGTTTCTCCTGATTTTATAAAATGCTGTAGTGGTGTGGTGCTCTGGCTCTCTGTGTGTAACTCTCTCCTCTCCCCTGTTTTTTCTTTCCCCCTTTTAGAACAACCCATCTCCATGCCTGTTAGCTCATCGTTTGCCTAGCATGTCTCCGTGGCGTCCAAAAAAAAAAAAAAAAAAATTTAAAAAAAAAAAAAAAAAAAAAAAACCCCCCCAAAAAAAAAAAAAAAAAAAAAAGTGTCATCGTCCTCCTCCTCCCCCGTCATTGTTTTTTCTGATGTCTTTTCCGAGCTCACCTGATCATAACCTGGTTCTCCTCCTCCTCCTCCGCCGCCTACTGACCTTTTGAACTTTGAACTTTTAGCTTTTTTGGACTTTGATTTTTATGATTATTTTTTTTTTTCTTTTTGTCTTTCTTTTTGTTTTTGTTTTTTGTTTTTTTTGTTTTTTGTTTTTTTGCATGTGACCTCATTTGGATCTGTTTTCTGGGAGGGGTTTCAGGGAGGGAGGGAGGCGATAAGGGAGGGGTGGGAAAGAAAATGAATCAATGTGAAAAAGATATAAAGCTGCATTCATATGAAAAAATAACAAAAAAAGACTGAGATTTTTATGGAAAAACAAAATGTTCTTTTTGGAGAAAAAAAACAAACAACAACCTGTGGCAAAGTGACTTCCATTCAGTATGTTTTCTTGCATTATTTTTTATTTTTTTTTTGTTTCTTTTTCTTCTTCTTTATGTCAGTTTTTTTTTTTCTTCTTCTTCATTTAAAGTAAACTTGAAAGTTCACTACAGGAATTGGCGCGTCATCTTGCTTCTGGTGCCGATGAAAAACAGAGCGCGGGCCAGAAGCAGTCCGCGCCAGTTTCTCTGAAATATAAGACTACTTCCAAACAGTTTTGAAAAAAACTGTCTGATCAATATTAGACTCTCTCAGAGCTCTCTAATGGTTTTTACATTTTTCAGGCAGTGTAAAGTTTTTTGATAAGGCCATTTTAAGTGGCTCTGTTTCTCATTCAAAGTCTATATATAGAACCACTTTTTTCTAGAGTAGTTTAAAGGTAAAAATAAAAAAAGACATTTGCCCTGTTTGGGGGGGAGAAATGCTACCTACTTGTGTCACCTTTTGCTGAACTGACTCACAGATAGACAATCCGTGGTTTAAATGCACATGATGAAATGACCTATATTTTCTACTGTTTAAATGTATAGAGGAAAAAAAAAAAATACTAAGATACCTGTAACCCGCGTTAACGTCGGTGCTTCTCGTGAGTTTAGTTGTGGTTTCATCACAAGTCTAACGGTCTTAAATGTCTCATGTTTTTCAAGAGAAGACTAAAAAATCAGTTTACTTGAACAATAGACAAAGCCTTTCATATTACTATAATAGTTACTTTTTTTCTTTTATTTTCTTCTTTTTTTAAGGAGTCCCTATTTGCTAAATTTCTTGTTGGTTAATTAGCTATATAAAATTCCTAAAATATATATAAATATAAATATATCTATATATATATAATGTCAGCTTGTGAAGCATCAATGTCATTATTATTTTATTTCTCTCGTGGGAAACAATATTTAGATGTGTTTTGTTGTTCAGCAAAATGTCTTATAAAGAAAAAAAGACAAGATCAGTGGAGTTTAGTGCCAAATTCTGAAGGTACTTCCTGCCTAGCGCGTCAGTGTATTTCTTGTGAAATTATTTGATAACATGGGTATTTTATTATAAGTGTTTTGTATGGATCCCTCATATTTAAAATATAGATTTAAAAAAGAGTTTGTTAACTTGCTATTCTGTGGTCTTGTTGCCTGAAAATGTCATGTTTGCTTTTTTTCTTTGTAAAGATGTAAAAAAAAAAAGTGCCCATGTGTCATATATATATCTATATACACGCACACACGGACACACACACACACACACACACACACACACACACACGCACACACACACTCTCTCGTGCAGACCTCACAGTTTACTTTGTTGTTGTGCATGAGAGCCCCTGAGTGTGAAAGCCTCTACAGCAAACCGCTACAGCCCGCCAGCGTGCACACACACACACACACACACACTTTAAAAACACACACACACACACAAGAATCACGCACTGATATTTTTAGCCATTGTACAACCGTTTAATTCATCAAAGCCTTACCACAAATCTTTGCACTCCTGTTCTCTCTCTATTAGTATCTCGCACACACAGACACAAACACAGACATCAGGCTTCAGTATATATTGTTCTGATTGTTTTTCTCGCACGCTGTCCCGCGCCTCCGCCGCAAAAAAAAAAAAATTGAGGTGAGAGTCATACGCGAAGCCTTATTTTTCTCCAAATCCTCTTATCCCTTTTGTTAGGTTCAAAACGTTTCTGAGTTGTAGCCGGCGCCATTTGTCTCAGACGGCGAGGATCATTACTTTTGTGTATCACCTCAGACGAGCACGCTTGCTTTCATGATGTAAGCACAGGGCAAGACTCGCTCATTCACAAACAAGCCTCGGTCTTTTGAGGAAAAAGCACATGCTGCCGCCGCCGCCGCCGCCACCGTCGAGTAGTCAAAACGCGGGAGGCGGGACGGTCCGGAGCAAGTTTTTTACTTGTTTGATTTCGTCGCTCAACTTCTCCTTTGACGAACGTGTCCTCTGACGTTTGTTTTTCCTTTTTTAAGTGGTTGTAAGACTTCTCCATATGTAAGTCTTGTGGTGTTATGGGCCAAAATCATGTTTAGATGCCAAAGTGTGTTATTGACATTCTCATAGTCAAGCCGTTTACATGGCACAGTGTTGTCAGTCTATTCAACTGCCCCTTTTCCCCCTCCCTGAAAGCCTAGTTTACGGTCTGCAAAAAATAAAAAAAAAAGAAATAAAAAGGCAGCATTATTTTCTACAGAAGCTCACCAGTCGCCTTAACCAGGGAGCGTTGTATCAGTATTATAAGAATAGAAGATGTTGTCAGTCAGTCAGTGATTTGTGCCAAGTCCGGGTTCACTTTTGTGTACAGTTAACCTCCCACCTGTCAAAGTCTGGATTTCGCTCTTCCGCCATTTTCGTCCAATCGGCCAGAGCAGAAAGGCTGAAATGGCCGTTTTGTCCTCGCAGCGGTGAAGGAGGAGAGAGGAGGAGGAGGGAGGAACGAGGCGGCGGCGTCTGTTTGAAGGATGCCGCTCTCCGTCTCGGTTGTTGTCTCCCAGGCTAAGCGGGGTTATTAGAAACAGGGCTATGTGGGGAGACGTCTTATTGGAATAGCGACAGGGGAAATAAAGCGCTTGTTGGTTGGAGAGGGAAGGGTCACGTCCGCAGGTCCACACAGGCAAAACAACAGCCACAGCCGAGATGAAGGCAATACAGCTTTCATTATCCTCTCAAAGACCGAACCCAATACCAAACTTTATCTGATCTCATGGAGGGAGGCAAGCAGACTTTTTTTTTCCTAAATGCAGTACACACAAATGAGCAGTGCCACAAACAGCCATAACTACCTGTACGACAGCTGGACAGGAGGAAAGTCCCAGTCCGATCAGTGGTAGCGGACCAGTTTTCTGACCAGTGTATATATGTGTGTGTGTGTGGGTTTCACATCGCAAACCGCTGCAACGTCAAAAAAAAAAAAAAAAACAATCTTTGCGTCCAAGAACTACTATTGCACATTTTTCACATCTTCACTTCACTCTCGCGCAGTTTCTCGTAAAACTTTTTTATCCGTTGAGTGTGGAGGCTACATAAACCTGTGCGCGGCTGTCCGTGTCACCCGAGACATCTTTTAACTGCCCCCCCCCAAAAAAAAAAATTGCCAAATCTCAACCGAGTTGCACACAGCCTGATGTCGCACAGTCTCGTGTGAAGCATCTTTGTCTTTGTTTCAATGTCGAAGCACAAGAGGGTCGTAGACGCAGAGTTTCTGTGGAGCGGCTCACCTCAGGGGCTGTCATCGCCGATGCTCGTTGTAATCTTTCTATCTTGTCACTGTTCACTTCTCTGTTCTCCTTCTTTCTTAATTATCTTAAGTGCTATTTATCAAACAATGAAATCTGAAAGGAAAAAAAAAAAAAAAAAAAAAAATTGAACTTGTCGTTTCTTTGCATTATGGCTTATGTCAAGTTTTTTGAGGAAAAATGTTTTGTGTGTTTCTCTCTTTCCGTGCCGTAGAAAAGAGCTTGTTGTCTGTAGAAATTATCCAATTTCTTTTTTCTTTTTTTCTTTTTTTTTTTATTCTCAAAAAAAAAAAAAAAAGGTTTTCAGTAGTTTCAAAGTTATTGTCTTGAGAGAAGCCAAAGTCAATGCATTTCAGTGGATCCTGTAAGCGTGATGTATGTTTGTTTGACAACACTTCGAAATCTGTCACTGGATGGGATTTAAAAAGTACAAAAAATGCAGGCTTTCCTATTTCTACAACTGATTGTACTTATGCATTTTGTACCAGTGGAATTTTTTATACTGGAGATTAAAGGATACAACAAAAAAAAAATCTTAGAAAAAAAGCTGTCTGGCCTGGTGGTGTGGCCTGACCCTGACTGGTCCCCGAGTATGATTTCTAGCTGGCATCGAGAAAGTTGGCTTTTGATATAAGATTTTCTAGAAGATCTTTGGCTTTATTTCTTTCACTTCTTTTTCCTCACTTGAGTGTTGTTCTTTCTTTCTACCTTTCTTTCTTAATTCGTTCTTTCTTTATTTTTTCCGAAAACAGAGGGTAGGTGAGTGTCAGATCTTTTCATTTTTGCTTTATAAATAGTTCTAGCAAGTTTGTCTATACAACAGCGGTAAGTTTCATTTGACTTCTGTATTGTGCCGTCTACACGATAAGACAATTATAGAAAAAGAAGGAATAGAAATATTTAGTCACCTTCAGTGGATTAATGTATTAGTTTAATAAAGAGATCAACTAATTAGAATTTTTTTGCTTTTAGCTGTTTAGATTTTTCCGGTTTCTCTGTCCTTCTCTGTGAACTAACTGTGTAGCTGAAGCAGTCAGAATTATTTTTGTAAACGTATGTTCTTGTGTGATGCAGTTTTTTGCTTCTGTCTCCTATATTAAACCATTTTTCCTAATACTTGTCTCTCTCTGTGTTGTTATGTTCCAGTGGCTGTCTGATGTTGTACTGTTTCACAACCTCCTCCCAGCCATTCTCTCTCTCTCTCTCTCTCTCTCTCTCTTTCTCTCTCTTTCTC